GAAAGAGTGAAATGAGAACCCTCAGTGGCTCTGTAAGAGCAGAGAGCATCTAAAATCCCTGTTTTCCACATTTTCTGGAATGTGTTTTTGTGTTACCACGGGTGGTAGAGAGACTTGCTTTGGTATTTTGAGTTTAGTCAAGTCTTTTAAACAGTTTACCTTAAATCACTTTTGTTCAGGATAGTAGCAAATTAAATGTTTTCAGAAGTCATTATTAAGGTATTACATTTGAAACTTTCTTAAACTCTTTAATTTTCAGGTTTTAAAAAAAAATCCCTTGCTCAAGAAACACATTTTGCTGGTATAGTTTCAGAATGTCAAGTACTGTGTCCTACTGGATCTTAAATTCTGCAAGGAACAGTATTGCCACATTACAAGGAAGTGGACGTTTGTATTCAAGGTGTGCCTCAAGTAGGAATAAATCAGAGTGGAAGCTCTTTTCCTGGATACCAACCACCCTAAAAAACAATCCCCCACATGGCAGCTTTGCTCTGCCGAAAGCCTACAGACACACATGGACAGAGGAAGATGATTTCCACTTACAACTCAGCCCTGAGCAGGTAAATGAAGTGCTGCGAGCCGGCGAGTCAGCCCACAAGATTCTTAAGCTCAGTAGAGTCCCAAATTCGGTGTTGCGGTTTGAGAGCAACCAGCTGGCTGCCAATTCCCCAGTGGAGGACCGGCGAGGTGTAGCCTCCTGCCTGCAGACCAACGGGCTGTTGTTTGGCATCTTTGATGGACATGGTGGCCATGCATGCGCTCAAGCAGTGAGCGAGAGGCTCTTCTACTATGTGGCTGTGTCACTAATGTCTCAGCAGACCTTGGAGCAGATGGAGAAAGCCATGGAAAACATGAAGCCCATGCTGCCCATACTGCAGTGGCTCAAGCACCCCGGGGACAGTATCTACAAGGATGTCACATCAGTCCACCTTGATCACCTCCGGGTCTACTGGCAGGAGCTACTTGACCTGCACATGGAAATGGGACTGAACATTAAGGAAGCATTAATGTACTCCTTCCAGAGACTGGATTCTGACATCTCGCTGGAAATCCAGGCCCCTCTAGAAGACGAGATGACAAAAAACCTTTCACTCCAGGTTGCTTTCTCTGGGGCAACAGCTTGCATGGCCCATATTGATGGAATTCATTTGCATGTGGCAAACGCTGGTGACTGCCGGGCCATCCTTGGTGTCCAGGAGGATAATGGCGTGTGGTCTTGTCTGCCCCTCACCCATGACCATAATGCCCGGAACCAGGCTGAGCTGTCACGGCTGAAAAGGGAACATCCTGAGTCAGAAGACAAGACGATCATCATGGACGACAGGCTACTGGGCGTCCTCATGCCCTGCAGGGCGTTTGGGGATGTCCAGCTGAAGTGGAGTAAAGAGCTACAGCGCAGTGTCCTGAAGAGGGGCTTTGACACCGAGGCCCTCAACATTTACCAGTTCACTCCCTCCCACTACTACACTCCACCCTACCTGACTGCTAAGCCCGAGGTCACATACCATAGGCTGAGGCCCCAGGATAAGTTCCTTGTGCTGGCCTCAGACGGCTTATGGGATGTGCTGGACAATGACAATGTGGTGAGGCTGGTGATGGAGCACCTGAATGAAGCAGATCGGTATAAGCCAGACCTGGCCCAGAGACCTGCCAACCTGGGACTCATGCAGAGCCTGCTCCTGCAGAGGAAAGCCCAGGGTCTCCACTCTCCTGACCGAAATGCCGCCACACGTCTGATCAGATATGCCATAGGGAGCAATGAGTATGGCGAGATGGAGCCGGAGCGGCTGACAGCAATGCTGACGTTGCCAGAGGACTTGGCGAGGATGTACAGGGATGATATCACTGTCACTGTGGTATATTTTAACTCAGACTCAATTGATGCATATTACAAGAGTGTTAAGAATCTCCCATCCTATTTCCAAGAGTAACTTAAATGCTCATCTAAGACATTTTCCTTACTCTTAAACTGGCTATTCAAACCTTACTGTTAAAAGGACAGGCAGATATAGGTTGCTTAATAATAGACTAATATAAGAAAAAAAAAGAACAACCTAAGTTTAAAAACAATAGCAGTGATTTCACATCCCTGTGTGTTTCGGTCACCTCTTCTATGCAGAGAGGACAGAGAGTAGAGACCATAGAATTGGCTTGAGCTCATGTAGGTCAAATCCTTTTATGAAGACACTGTTGTTAAACCGTGTCAGCCTGAGCCTTCATAGGATAAATTTAATCATGATTCTAAGCACATGAAGGACTTCAGGATCTTCTGGGGTCTTGCTCAAAATCTGCAAACTTGATCATTCTTCTCAATCACAATCATGGACTTTTAGACTATGAAGGAAGGTGTTATCTGTTTTTTATTTACCAAGACTTGGGTTTATAAAGGATATTACAGAACACTTTTCTATGCAACAGTCTAACCTTTTTTGTGATTATACTTCTGAAAACATTTTATAATGCTGAATTCTAGTTCTGTTTTAGCTTTTTAAAAAAACTGAGTCCTCAAACTTGCAAACAGGCCTGCTGTCAGCATGCTTGGAATGACTCATCTTTGTCTTCAGCTGAGAGTGAGAGGGGCTAGGCCTCTGGACCAACGGAATTTACTTGTGCAGCACTGTTTCTTATTAACCCCCTGAACCTTCAAGCCATACTAGGAGGTAACTACTGTTTAAGCCTTAACTCCTGGCCTTTCCTACATTTATCATTTCCTCCAGTGCTTAGCCTTTAGAGGTTTAGTCATAGCACTTAACCTTTCTAATTACACCTCTCAACAATTCTTTTATTAATTCCTACCTTTGCTATGCTGAACTCTCATCCTGCTGCTGACTACCTGGAAAGAATGCTTTTTCTTCAGATGGTTGTAGGGAAGGAAAAATGTGATCTCCTTGTGTCAGATGTTTAGGTAGGACTGGCTTATGCAGTGGATTGTGGACTTAAAATTTAGCCTTAATCTGGAGAAGACTTTAGAACAGTCACTAATCAAGGCTTCCTATGTGCATCTTGAGAGGCAGTGGGGAGGAGGAAGGAATGAGATTCATCAGATGGAACTCTTGCCCCTAGAATGTGGGATAAATGACCATTGCTACTTGTTAGGAACTAGACCATATTTAGCATAGGAGTTGGGGCAAAAATAAATGTAACCTGTAACGGCTTCCATCAGCTGCACAGTCTTTGTGCTTTTTAGAAAATTAATTCATGTGAATCTTTTTTGGGGGGATGAGTTTTATATTCCCACGAATTCCTATGTCATTTAAACAACAAAAAATGTGTCCTTAAATGGAAACACAGTATAATCCCACAAAACTGACATTTTTATTTTCCTGTTCTATATTCACAGATCTTTCTCATCTCACACTCTGGTGCCATCCACTGAAAGAAAAGCAAATAACTAGATTTGACAAACTTCCTCATTTTTCTTCATGTCTCAGTGACATTTATTCAAGTGTATTGGGATACTTCTAGCCTGAGGACATTTCCCTGTACATTTTCCAGTGCAACTGGTTAGCGGTATGGCTTCATCTAAGAAATTCTCTTTTGAATGCTTAGTCTTGGTCCTAATATTCTGAAACCATTAATATTCCTTCAAATCTCTTAGATCTTATTTCCGAAATAAAATGTGAAATACTACCATTCTGCTCTTATGAAGGTTTGTTGCTAGAGCCAAAGACTGCTTGTCTGACAACCTTTGTTCCTTATGCCCGCTTAACCCTGGCACACCCGCGGAGCATTTACCTGGATTATAGTGAATCCTGTTTTAGAGCCAGCATGGTCATAAATGTATCTGATTCAGTAACTTGTAGGATATCTGAGAGAATACAGACTTTCCAGCTGTTTCTCTGCTTAATAGATTTCCTGCTTTCTAATCGATGTATTGAGAGAGAAGAAAGGCCAGTTTATTGTCTGCCTTCTTCCACTGTGGACTTTGTCAGTTCTTTCCGTGAATGCTCCAAGGGGTGCCTCCTTCTGGTTAAACCCCGGTGTGTGTCTCTCTGACCACAGTTCTGCTGTCACAGGCCTTCCTGGTGGGCTACTACTTTAGGGCACTGGGATTTGAGAGGGGCTTGGTGGTACTTGTCAAGTCTTTTATCATTTGTCATTTATCAAAAGCATTTATCATTCCTTTTATGTAAAGATTTCAATTTTGACACTTCTAAAATGAACTAAAACATGAGATTGAACTGTTAATATTTTAGTTGTAACTTTATTCAAAAGTATGCTTTGATGCTTTAAATTGCATATTTATTATTATAAATAAGAAACTTTGATGATATTATCCTAATTTAGGTATTTTATATATAAGTAAAATACAGCCCTGCTGATTCTGGGGATTAGTCAAAATGGATAGAGAAGATGGTATTCTAAATTCAAATTAGTATGCTAAGTCAAGTTACTTAGATATTCAGTTTTCTGAGATGTTAATTGTAACATTAAAGCTAATTTATTATAATGAAAATGTAAACTTTGAGGTATGTTACTATATATAAACATTTCTCCCAGAGGTATGATTGGCCTAAAAGATCTCTAGTGTTGGGCATACTGAGTAAAGTTCAGATTAGACACAATTGAGCTGGCACCTTTTATACATAAGTGAAATATAAACAGCTCAAACTTGAGTTAAGGAAGAGAATAATTGTAGGGACCAAGAAAATGTGTTCAGGATGGGTCTGTCTTGACTCTTTTGTCCATCAGCCCCTGATGCCCCATGTTCGTCTGACAATTTTTGGAAAGCCTTAACTTCCCAGGTTAAGCCAGAATGTCCTGGAACTGAGCCACCTTACTTTTATCTATCTTAAAGTGGTTCATTTGTCTCTGAATGTGACTGTTTCCCATGACGGTAAGAGCCCCAGTGTAGCTTTAGAGCTGGGGAATGAATGCTGGTGGTAGCACTTGTCATGTGTGCTGCCATGTGCATTACTGAGTGGAAAACACATTTGGACTGCTGTGCCACCATCTCCTGAACAGGCTGAGGCTCTGTCCCTTAATGCCTCAGGCACCTAATATTTAACCTGCCTCCTGGAAAATATTTCTTATCAAGCATTTACTTGGAAAAATTATTAACTATGTTCTTTAATATTTACTGACATTTGTATTTAAAGCTGTATACCAACATTCATATTTAACACTGATTTTCTAACCATTAGCGATATTTAAGTAAAACTTATAAATAAAAGAGGCAAATGAAATTTGGTTTCTTTGGTTTGAATATTCTTTTTTTAGGTCCTCAGGGTACCAGTGAGACCAGTCTTTGTTTCATTACCTTTATCTGGCCATGGAAGATTTTAGTCTGTTCAAGAGTCCACCCAAAAGAGAAGTGTTCTCTGCAAATGTTTTGTGGCTGCTGACCACACAGGAAGTCCTCATTTAGTGTTAACCATGTGTGCAGAGACCTAAAAAAAAGGAAAAGGAAGGAAGTAAAGGCTTTTGTCGTGAGGATTTCCACACTCAGTGCCAAAGCCTGTCTGCTGGGATTTCATATTATTTAACTGAGCTTGTTAAATCTTAAATTTATGTTAATCTTAAATGAAGAGCCAGCTTTGGGGAGAGGTCTAGGCAGCCACCTCCATAGAGTTAAAGACTCCATTTCTTCCTACCCCCACTGACTGTACTAGGTCTCATTGCCGCTGGAGTGGTACAGTTCATAAGGACTGCTCCAATGGATGCTTCTTAAAATGCAAATACATTATTATTAATTATTAATGTCATTAACATCAGTCATTAACACTTAGTGTGGACTAGGGTAAGTTGGGCCTTGAGCAGATTTGGAGGAGGGAAAGGTGGAAAGGGAGCGTCTGAAGTCTGATAAGGTTGACTAGAGGACCTATTGCCTTCTTTTTGTCATGATAAAACAGGCCTACAGGTTTAGAAACTTGCCCTTGACAACCTGATTTGAGCTAAGTTTACAGCCCATGCACTTATCCTAATACTGAGCTTTCAGAAAGGTATAGTAATTTATGAAACATCTCTTATTACCCAATTTTGGCCCCAGGTAATTTGGGATGAGGAAGAGAAGTAGATGGTGCTAAAAAGAAGCTAGATATATTTGACATATACATTCCAATATTTCATCATTTTGGAACATGATAAAAAGGGAAAACAATTAAATTTTAAAAATTAAGCTCTTCGCATTCTTTAACTAGAGGGAGAAAGCTCATACTGTTCCTTTCTCCTGTAGAGTTTTTATTTAACTTTGCTCGATGCCCTTAAATGCCCTTAAGTATTTCCCAAGTTGACGATCCTGTGAACCGTGCATGACAGATGCTCCAAATGGCTCCCTCTGGGATGGGTGAATCTTTACAGGATTTTTATGGGTCAAAGTGTCTTTGCTCCATTGGCCCCTTACCTGACCTGCTCCACATGAGAAATCACTTGCTGGGAGGAACAGGCAGGGAGTGAGGTGGCCAGAGTTCCAGTTCTGACCTTTGCTGGCGGCGAGTAAATAGGCCTGACACGTGGAAAAGTGGTCTGTAGAGGGACTGACTTTCCAAAGCCAGCTTTATCGCAGATCTTAAATATCCCTGCCTTTCCAGGATTCTGGAAAGCCCTCATTTGCCCATCCCTGGGGTCAGGTGTGCAGAGCTAACCAAGGATGGCCCCATCCACCTGGGGCTGAGAGGCCCATGACACTGGGCACAATAAGGATGGGAAGGGGCCAGTCCAGGGAAAAAAAGCACAGAGGCGGTTCAGACCAGCAGGTCTGGGAACAGGCTCCTGGGGCATCGTGGACATAGGAATGAGAGTTGCAGTGAAGGCTGAGAGGGAGCTAGCCAAAAGTGTCTGGGAGGGCAAGGAGGAGCCCCTCAGGTGGTCTTGAGGGATGGAGAAGTGAGTAAGGCCATGCAACAACCTCAGAGGACTGTGGTGTGACTTGCTCTTCATCAGCCTGGAGAGGGGTGAAGGCAATGCAGAAAGTCCTACTTCAATCCTCCCACTTTCCCCACAGCATTATGACCAGGTATTGTTGGGCATTTGTCCTTGTTTTTCTCCTCCACACCCCCATCCCTGTCCTATTGATAGTAGAATGAGTGAGGAAGGATGGGCAGGACAAGTGGATGGAGGGGTGGATGGATGGATGGATGGTTAAGGGAGGAGCAGATGAAGAAGAACTAGCAAAAGAAAGAGAGAGAGGTCAGAGAAGTAGGAGGGAAACCATGTGTGGTGGGGAGGAAGAAAAGAGAGAGGGAGAGGAATGGCCAGTACCAGAGAAGACCATGGGTGCGGGTGGGTGGAAATGAATCATTTGCCAAAAAAAAATCACAAAAGAAAGGCGAAAGCCACTGTGTATTCTCACGTGGGACTCAGGACACAGGGCAGGCCTGGATGGTGAAGCAGAAATGAGGAATCAGCTCTGTAAGAAAAGGCTGCCTGAGCTGCTGGGATGACCCTCTGAAACAAAGCAATGCAGTGGGTGGGGGACAAGCTGACAAGTTTCTTGGCTTGGGAGGGGAGAGTATCCATGGGTTCACTTGGGGTCCCAGAGGCTTTGCTGACCCCGCACTGTTATTTGGCATGGAGAGATGGAGGAGCTGGGCCTCTTCTGAGCTCTGCTTGGCGGCTTTGTCACTAAATCCTGAGGATGGCATGATGAGAGCACCAATGGGGAGTCCTGGGCTGGCACAGGCCCTTGGCTGTGGGATTCTGTGGTGAAGCAACATGAGGCAGGAGGCTGCCTCTAGGTGTCGCTATTTGGCCACGTTGGCATCAGAAGCAGGTGGAATAGCAAGAATGTGTTCCTGAGATGAGGCCCTGAGGCTCACCCCGAGGCGGAGCAGGGTCTCCCTGAGACTGCAGCCTGGAACACCCTTCGGGAAGCCTCACCAGACCCTGAACATCACTGGGGCTGGAATAAGTGCGGGGTTGGGGGAGGACACTGTCCCGTGGTTACTCAGCCCTGCCTTGTGGGGAAGAGGCTGCTTGGGTCCCAGGGTGAGCTACAGGTGGTGGGCGAATGGCTGTCACTTTTACCAGTCTCCCCCATGGTGGGTGTTCCCCTCTGTGGACTGCCCCACACCTCTGAGCCCTTTCCACTCCCATCCTCCTCCACTCCCTGCAGCCACCCTCCCAGCAGCTCTGGGGTCCATTCCCTTCTGTTCCAGCCCCAAGAATGGTCCAAACCATCTTTATCCTCCCCCACCCCAAAACAGGTTTCCCCTCCAGTCAACCGCACCCAGCATACAGCAGTCAGAGTCATCTTGGTCAGACTCAAATCTGACCATGTCAGTCTTCTCTGAACCCCTCCATGGTTCCCCATCACCCTGGGGAAAAAGCTCAGAATCATCCCCAGGCTGGTCTCCCCAGCCTCCTCTCCTCCTCCAAGCGTATATTCACTACTGCCATACAGAGAAGTGTTAAAAAAGAAAAAGATGTCTTGTCTTCCCCTTACAAGCTGGAGTCACCTCTTTCAAGAGTTGGGCTGGCCCCCCTGGTCACCCTGGGGATGGAACCTGGAACCCTCCACCTTTTGCTCCTTGTAGTAGTTTTGAGGATGACCACAAATGCTCTTCACATCAAGTGGTGGGGTCTAATTCCCCTCCTCCCGAAACTGGGCTGGCTTTAGCAACTTGTTTCTAACCAATTGAACACAGCAAAGTGACACTGGAGATTGACAAAGTTAATGTGCAGCGAAGTCTTGATAATTGGTGAATCTGATAGAGGGTTGTGACAGTTAATTTTATGTGTCAACTTGACTGGGTTAAGGGATGCCCAGAGAGCTGGTAAACGTTATTTCTGGGTAGAGCTTTGAAGGTATTTCTGGAAGAGATTAGCATTTGAATCAGTAGACTGAGTAAAGAGGTAGATGGGCATCGTCTAATCCACTGAGGGATAGAACAGAACAGAAAAGCAGAAGGAAGAGAAAATTTTCTCTCTGTTGAGCTGGGACATCCTGCCTTAGGACAGCTGGTGCTCCTGGTTCTCAGGACTTTGGACTCTAACTGGGACTTACACCTTTGGCTCTTTGGTTCTTAGGCCTTCATATTTGGACTGGAACCACACCGCTGGTTTCCTTGGGCTTCCAGCTTGCAGACAGCAGACTGTGAGACTTCTCGGTCTCTATAACCACATGAGCCACTCCCCCATAATAAATGTCACAACCGTATAAGGCAATTATTATGAACACATTTTACAGATGGTGAAACTGAGCCTGGAGACGTTAAATAATGTGCCCAAATAAAAGCAGAGTTGAGTTTCGGACCCTGGTGTCTGACTCCAAAGCTGCCTATTAGCTGTCATGGGATTGCTGAGCCATCATGCAATTCTGTCAAATAGCTATTCATTTAATTAAAAAACAAACCAAAACAAAAACATGCTCTCTATGCTCTCCAAAAGCCTGGAAGGAAAGTGTGAGCTGTTGGTCGGTCCATGGAAGCATTCTAGCAAAAGCTGAGGGAACACTTGGCAAGATGTAAATTTGGTAGACTACGGGTGGTCCAACCCTGAGGCTGGGCCCTGTGCTTGTGCTTTGGGAGGACAAGAACATGTGGAAGCTAAGGGGGCAGTGGTGGTCTTGAGCAGGAAGGAGGGACCAGCAGACAACGACCTGCTCTGGTCCTCTGACCCTGTGAACTTGGACTAGTCTCTGATCCCTCTCCCTGCCCTGGGCCTAGCAATTCTGGCTTGGGGGAAGAGTCCAGAACTCACCAAACAGTGAGGCTTGCTCTCCTTCCCAGCATCTGTCGGAATTTCTCTAAGAAAGAGAGAGACAGAGAGAAAGAGAGAGAGACAGAGACAGAGAGAAAGGAGTGGGAGGAGGAGAGGGAGAGAGAGGAAAAGCGAAGGAGAAGGAGGGAGAGAGGGGGAGGGAGGGTCAGGCAACTTCACAAGGGGATTTGAACAAAAATGGTCATGGCACTTGTGTTTGTTAAGAAAGAGAAACTGGACACTACTGACATGTCCTTCTTCTACATACTAGACAGATTCTGGTGTATCCATCCTGGTGGACTTTACAAGGAATAGTGAAAAAGAAAGTGACAGAAGAAGATCTGTATTATTTGACAGGAAGCTGCTAAATGTAAATACTTGTAAATGAGGAGATGGAGTGGGAAATTAGATTACAAAACAGAATGTACACTGTGACCCCAAGTTGAAACCCTTCCCCCAGCCCTCACGCACACCCCTCCATCAGCTCCCTCGTGACTTACCCCATTGGTCAGGGGGCCAGCCGGTGGGGGAGGGGACCACAACTATA